CTATACTTCTGTATAACATCTGTGCTCTAGCCTCTGCCTCAGGTCTTAGACTAGCTTCCATAGCACGACTCTCAGCTCCATCTCTAATGCACGTATCTCTATCAGCTTGTCCATGTACTCAGCCTTAGTAGCGTGAATGAGATAATATCAAATGATTATTATCATATTGGATAATAATAATACCTCGTAATGATCATATACCCAATCCTCAGTCTGCATTAATATATTAGATAATTCTTCTCTCTGGGCTGCACTAAGGAAATCATACCATCTAGATGATGGTGAACTTATCTTATCCCTAATAGTAGAATATTAATCGTAATAGTAAATCAACTACTACTACTACCTGCTCTCGAAGATATAGCTCTCTAACTCATTACGTTTCTCATCAGTCTCCGCCACTTCCCTATCAATATTTCTCATCTTTAACTCATCATCTTCAGCAGCTCTTAGCCTATCTTCCGACATACCAGGTAGACCAGAACCTATATAACAAGAATGAGAGGATAATAGTAATGATGATATCGTACGAATAATGGGTATATCGGTCTTCTTAGTCCGAGTTTTAATCTTGGTCACTTCAACTAGCTCCTCCTCCTCGTCCTCCTCGAACTCATCTCCCTTTCCTTCCATCTCATTACTAATACCAGAAGCAGCAGCAGGAGCAGCAGGAGCCTAAGGATGATGATGATGATGATGATGTATTATTGAATCCACGTGATGTTGTACCTCAGCAGGCTGCATATTCACATCATCATTGGTAATAGTAGTAGTAGCTGCTGCTGCTGAAGGAGAGGCATCTACCATATTCTCATCATCATTAGTTTCCTTATTAATAGGTCGTCGTCGTCTACGCTCCTTCTCTACAACTTGATACTCTTCCTCTTCTATCATAATAGCATTCTCAATACTGAATGTACCATGTAGACTGAGCTTAGCTCGGACTTTAATCTTCTTAGGTCCTTCATCATTCTCACTATTATGAGGTACTTGTATAGTATATCTCCCAAGAGATGCATCATCACCATGGTCCTCACTGTTGGTATATTGTGCCCATAGCTCAAAGGCTTCCTTACGATAGAAGGTAAGCATCTTAACCGTATTAAGTGTAGATCTTGGTGGGAAGACCTCAGTCCTCTTGATGATAGAAGAACATCCTTCAACATCATCATTATTAGTAGTAGATGTTGCCTGCTGTTGCTGCTGCCAGGCTACCTCAATGCCTTGTTGAGTAAAATCAGTAACGGCAAAGTCCCTAAAAACGATGAGGTAGCCTGATGATGATGATGTTACATGATGTATATTACCTAACCTTGAATAGGGGTGATAACATAGCTGCTTGTAATGCGCATCCTCGTGCTACACACTCATCAGCATTAAGAGTACGAGATAAGTCCTTATGTAGAGTATCAACAATAGTACGTTGTATGAATGGTACTCTAGATACACCACCAATGATCTCTACTGAATGTAAAT